ACCATTGGCCAAGATAGCCGAGGCTTCTGGGGGCTGAAGTCCAAAACAACTGGAGTAACAAAGGTTTGGAATCACTGAATTATGCCAACTGCACGTTTCACAGTCAATTGTTTCTTGTGGTTGTTTTTTGTGGAGTGTCCCCTACTCATACATAATTCCCTTCTTAAATGTGCAGCCTTTTCACAGATTTTGCATTTCTGAAAAGGAAAACATATAAGCAAGTGCTGAAATGGATAGGAAGGATGCTTATGGCAGTGATGTATTCAAGTCATTTACTCCAAATCTCAAGTCAAATCTCTAGCATCAAGTCTCAAGTTCTTGCAAGATACTTTCAGGTCAAGTCCCAAGTCTGGGAACAGGAAAAAAAGGAGTCAGTGTATATTTCTCAGAGATGCATTTGTTATTCATCTCTGAGAAATGTGTCCTGTGTTCTGGGGTCAGGTCTTGCCTGATGCTCAAAGTGAATGATGCTAGCAAGTCAATCACTAAAAATATACAAATTCCAACTTGAGCCAAATCAACACACCACTTATTGCCAAGCTGAGTCCAAATCCAGTGACTGAAGTGACTTTGAGTCCAGGTCAGTTGACTTGAGTCTCCATCACTGGGTTATGGATCTGGTTTTGGAAACTTTGAGGACACTCTCCTGATTGCTTGGGATCAGATGTGCAGTTGAATTGTATGTGTATGCACACTCAATGAACCAGGCACCGACAATGCCATCCAAGCTTTTCTCCATGGATTCAGTTCTTGAATAGCTGAGGTTGCTTCACTCTCTCTGTGTTTTAGACCCACTTTGAGACCATTTTGAATGTCAAAGGAGCAGTGAGACCTCTTTGTCCATGGTTCTTTTTCCAGCTGTGTGAATGTGCCCAAACAAAGGGTGCCTGTTTAACACACAGTCATTACAATCTTAAATACTTTTGCAGGCATTTAGCCTGCTGCTACTGCTAGATTTTTTTTTAAAAAAAAGCTAGCAGCGATTCAATTAATTAAGCTTTCATTACTCAGGGTCTGCTTAAGAGCATTGTGTTTGTCTGGCAAGGGCATTTCCTCATTTATGATCTTTGTTTGTGTTTTTTTGGTTGTTTGTTTGTTTTAAGTATGCAAATTCCTTCCTTAATTGTTCAGCCAATTGGCTTTTATAGAGAGAAAAGCAATTCTTTGCAATTTCCATATTTGAGGCTCTGGATCAACTCTGTTTGTGAACTTGCTAAACCATACCTAATCACACTTTATTTTCTCTCAAACAAAGCCATCTGGTACAATCCATAGTCAGATTATGCCCTCAGCTGGAAATCAAGAAAAAAAAAACCTAAAAGGGAGGTAAAAGTGATTAGAAACAGAATGTATTGGTAGAGAGGGCTCTTGGTTAGAAAGAAACATTTGACCCTCATGTCCTGAAATGTTAATCTGGTTTATTTGCATATATTTTGAAAAACTCCTTTTTGTTTGTAAAGAGCTTTTCAACAGACTAATTTAGGGTTGGGGAGTCGGTACGCCAAACCTTCAACTCCAACCTTTTTCTAATCTTGGTCTCCAACTCCTTCATAAATGGCAAACATATATCAATGAGTATTAAGAAATTTACTGCAATAGAACAGTAAAATAAGACATTTCATCCCTACTACATCATCGGACAGGTTACTCAGATTGATAGAACATAAAATAATCAAGTATAAGTCAACCTCATGTATAAGTTGAGGTCAGGTTTGGGGGCCAAAATTAAGGATTTTTATTTGACTCATGGATAAGAAGGGTAAAACTTAGGGAGACAGCTGGACTGGGGCAAGCCTTTTGACCCGTGTATAAGTCAACTCAGGTTTTTGGTCAATTTTTGGGTATAAATTTCTCAATTTATAGTTGAATATATACAGTATATTTATGTCAGAATAAAATGAGATATGTGCCTTCAAGTTCTTTCCGAGTTATGGTGACCCTATCATGTTTTTTTCTTAACAAGATTTGTTCAGAGAGGAGTTTGCCTTTGCCTTCCTCTGAGGCCGAGAGAGTATGATTTGGCCAAAATCATTTGGTCGGTTTCCATGGCTGGATGAAGATTTGAACCCTGATATCCCAGAGTCTTAGTCCAGTACTTGCTGGCCTGGGGTTATTTTCTGGAATAGTTTTCTGGCCTGGGGTTATTTTCTGGAACAGCTCGGTGTATTTGGGATGAGGCTCCTCAGACTTGGAGTCAATGGATGCTTTGACATTGGGGAGAAAAGAGAGAGAAGACAAGGCCGTTTTCTCAATCTGCCACTTTGTGCCGCATCTCTGAGCCTACTCTTTGTTCTCTGCTAGGATCATTTGGTAAATATTACCAGCCCTAATGATTTAATAGGAGGAGAGTTACTGTGTTCTCTCCCGTAAGTATAGCACGCTGTGAGGCAATAACATAATCCTTTCTGCAGCCGGCGAAATAGAATCACACCCCACTAATGGTTTTTGTCTGAGCTCTTGCAAAGGCTCCTCCTGTCAGTCCAGCAAAGCTTCTCCGGGGCATGAGAGGACTGGGATTAAAGCGATCTTGTTACTTGTGGTCTCCGTTGAGCCATCATGCTCCCTCTTCATCGCCAGCAGGGAAGGGAGCCTGTAGAACTGGAAGGCCGCAGCTGAAGTTAAATGAAATTAGAAAAAGATTAAACAGGACAGGTTGTTTCCTTGGGAACTGGTGAAGGCTCTTGGAGCACTTGCAGCCAACCAAGGTCTTCACCTTGGAGAGACCAGGTACCTCTGAAATCACTGGGATGGCAACAGCCTCCCAGCGAAGGTTGTGTTTTGCTTCATCCCTCCCTTTTGTTTTGACATTCAGCCATCCAGTGTGGTTTCTATCCAGAAATCAACATCAGGATCTGTTACTTGTGCACCTTTAACCATTTAAGCATCACATAGGAAGGCTTACCTTGCTTGCTTTTTAAAACTATAAGCAATTGTGGAATTTGCAAAAGTTTCTATTTTTGGCTTCATTGGGCAATTGGCAAGACAAATGTGGGTTGAAATTTTGCAGGGGACTCTGCACAAATGTGAAAGTGGTTGTGCAAAAGTTGTACTTTTCTCAGTGGTCTGTAGTCTTTTTGGAAGGGCATACTCAGGGCCCCCTCTCTTTCTCACTTTTGATTTGGTGAGTGGAGTGCTAATTGTTAGCCATGACAACCTTCCCATGCCTAGACTCATTTGAAGTTTTCATATTTGTAGCCCTCTTGTTTATTTGTTTTACAATACCTACACTCTTCTTCCATCACTTGAACCTGCAGCCATTCCTCTTCTTCCCACTTTTTGCTTCCTTAAACCATGTATTTCATGATGAACGGGTAATTATTAGGTGAAGCTACAATTATATGTTTTACCCCCCCCCCAAAAAAGGGGGGGACTGAGCATATTTCTTTTTCTTTCACCTAGTGCCATGTGGTTGGTTGCTTGTGGGGCTGGATGTTGTTCAGCTTCTGCCTTGTTAGTTGATTTCTCTGCTGGAGAGTTTGATTACTCTCCCTCATATTTACCAACATTAATGAACTCTTTATGCACCAGATAATATAAAGCCCATTGTGGGATTGGTTGCAGAACTGTGGGAACTAATCTTAAATTGTTGTATATTTATGCAACATTAAAATATATAATCCTTGACTACGATTAACATATTGCAGTAGAATGCAAAGATGTGCTTACTCAGTGCTCAGTTTCCTGGGAGTAAGCCCATCTGATTACTTTTGCACATGGAATTGCACTGTGAATCTGTTGAAGAAATGATCTATCCATCAAAACTTCCATTTTAATTCATTGTAGGAATATGGTAAGGGCCAGAATCCTGCTAGTGAAATGCATGCATACATAATTCAGCATGTATGTCTCATTTTGGATGGGGTTTGGGGGCTGTGTTCCATCCAAAACCTCCCTCTGCCCTGGAAGGTGCTGCTATGACTTTAAAATGCCTCAGTTGCTGTGGAGACTATTAGTTAAGGCAAGGTTGTAATCTTATGTTAATCAATGCAGTTTGGGTTTGCTGGAACAGGGGAGCACATATCACTTTGCTTCCTCTCCCGTTTGATTTCCAGCAAACTGTGTTGTTCTGTGAAATACAAAATTCTCTTCAATTCAACATAGCCTACGGGCTCATGATGGTCAAGCAAAGCGCCACTGATGGATTGGGTCTTCTTTCCCATTTAAGATGCTTAAGACTCTGATTTGCAAAGTCTGAGTGAGCAAAGGGACAGCATTTCAGCCATCCTTTAAAAAATTACCATCGGAGCCAACATTCATGAGTGTAGCTCCTGCATCTCTTGCAATGTGGAAAGCTTGCTGTTGCAGTTATTCCAAACCTTTCCCCTCCTTTTCCTTATTACTTAGTCCAGGTGGAAACCTCTCTAGCTCTATTTCTCAAGCACAGACCAGGAAGATGCAGTTCCTCTCCATGCCTTTACCCTATCCATCCCAGCAGGGTCTTTCTCTCCCCCAGAGTTGAGGTCTCCCACTTTTGCAACACCAGCAAGGAATGACCAGCTTGGAAACATATTCAAGGCTGTTTCAGGAAAAAGCAACAATAATGCAACAGGAAAGAATGAATGAAAGACTGGGAGAGAGCAGACCGGCTTTGCATCATCAGCACAAGTCCTGCCCAAGTACTGCCCAAGTACTGTAAACTTCACCTTTTCCCAGGATATTTCAGAACTCTAAACATTATTTATCTGTAAAATGGATGAACAAAGTGCACCACATGCAGCCCCCTGACCCACTTTTGTGACCCCTCAAATTCCCTACAATACCCCGTTGTAAAAATGTTTAGTATAGATTTGGAGTTGTTGGGGTTTTGCCCAGAAAAGGGCACACAGAGCCTCCAAACTTGCAAAACCATTCCCAGCCCCATGCAGAAAATTATCCAGAACCCCACCAGCTCTCTCAAATACCTCTATTTTCATCAAAGTCTTTCTCAAAATGATGACAGGGGAAGGGATGGGATGTCACTGCTGGCTACCGCTTGGAAAGGACTAAAAATAAAGATGAGAATCAGCATGGCATAGTGGTTTTGAGTGTTAGACTACAACTCTGGAGACCATGGTTTGATTCCAGCTTGGCCATGAAACCCAATGGGTGACCTTGGGCAAGTCACACTCTCTCAGCCTCAGAGGAGGACAATGGCAAACCTCCTCTTAACAAATCTTTCCAAGAAAACCCCATGATAGGGTCATCATAAGTTGGAAATGACTTCAACGCACACAACAACAAGATGAAGATTTGGAAGTGCTGTTGTGTGTGTGTGGGGAGAGAGATACAGCTCCTGGGAGCAGAAGGGAGAAATTGGCTCCTATGGTCTTTGCAATGGTTGGAGATGAAGGAGCAGGAACCTAATTCTTTTGGCTGGCTGTACTTGCAACTGGGCCCACTAATCGGGAAACTAGTTGGCCTGGTGGCAGTCTTGGTCTTAGAGGTTTTAGGGAACAGTGAAATATGAGCCTCTCCTGAGATCTTTAGGGGAGACCCTTCCTTGAGCCCTACCACCTTCGCAGGCATAGTTATTGGGGACCGCAAGAGAGGGTCTTTTGTACAGTGGCTGTTAAAGTGGGATGAAACTGCTACAGCTGCGCAGCGTTAGTCCCTCCTGGGACTGATCAGGGGGAGGAAGAGAGAGAGATGACGCAAAGGGTTGAAGTCCATTAAACCTGCCTTGGACTCCAAGCTCAACATGGCTTCCAAATCCAATGCATTTTGGGAGCTTGTAATGCCAAGTGAACATGCGGTCCAGATGCAACATGAAAAGGCAGCCCAAGTCAATCCATTAAACAGAGGGAGCAAAGAGAACAGGAGTAATTTTGAGCTTACAAAATGAAAACAAGACCTCCAGCTTGGCAACCACTGCCTTGTTTTTTGTGGAAGGTGTTCTCCTGTTCTGTTGTAAAACGGCATATGTAAAATGTATCAGGGCTCTTTGGATTTTTGCACTTCTCTGTTCTTTTGTGCGTTAATTTTGCCAGTGTTCTGGAATCACCAGATTGCTTATGTTTATTCCCTAAACCACTCATTTCAGCTAGCACTTTGGTTCTGTTAAGCTTCATTTAATGCAGGGTTTTGCTTTTATGAAGGAATCTTGTATATGTGCCTTGCAGTTGCTCCACAGTAATGGCAAAGAAACTCCTTGTTCGGAATTTTCTGAGTACAGTGGGCCCTCCACATTTGCTGGGGTTAGGGGCATGAGACCTCCGTGAAAGTGAGGAAAATGGGGATTTTAAAAAAACTGGCTTTTTTTGACCTGAGACAACACCTCTCTAGGAATCTCTGTGTCCTCCACCACAACTCTGTAGTCAACATCTGCCAGAAGCTGACCATAGAATCGTGCTGGAGGACCTACAAATGCCTAGAGAAATGTTTTCTCTAGGAATCTCTAGGTCCTCCAGTGTCACTCTATGGTCAACTTCCAGCAAAGCCACTCTGGAGGACCTAGAGATTCCTGGAAAGAACATATCAATTAAATCTATCAATAATTAAATCTGCAAAATTCAAAACCACAAATGTGGAGGGCTGAGTGTATAAGGTTTTAAAATCGTCCTTGATTTTTGTTCACTACTATTTGCTTATTGAGTAAGACAATGCAGGAAAGGGTGTAAGGAGATAAAAGGGGAAGGAGGAGGCAACATAACACATTAAAACCCAAAATTGTTTGCAGTTGTTTGTGTTAAAGACATGACTGCATAAATTTGTATTTGCAACTTTTTATCATTAGTAAATCTGAAAACAAAACCTTTAGGGAAAAAAATCTTTTAGAAAAAATATTACAAGGCAAAAGGCCATCATTGGTATCTGCTAAAGTTGGCCAAGCAGCCGACAGTAGCCACAAAGTGAATAAATCATTGTCAGGCCAGTTTTTGTTTTTTTAAAAGCTAGGTTTTCTCACAAAAGGGAAAATAATGAGAAGATGGCCTTCTGGTGGTGATGAAAAGGAATCAAAGACTCAGGGTCTGTCTGCCAGTTGGATCTTCATCTCTCTCAGAAGTGATGTTTTGTTGGATGGCAGGTAGAGACAGAACCTCAACAGTGAAAGTTCGACCTGGAAGAAGGAGCTGTTTTCCTAATTCTCTAGAACGACAGCCAAGAGCTGGATTCTTGAGAAGACTCCAGAAAAAAACCCTCTAAGCCCGAAAATGTCTTTTCCTGCTCAAAATGACCATTTCACAAAAGCTTCCTTTCCATCATAGAGTTGGGCACTCCACAGTACAGTTATGGAAAATCTTTAGGGTGTGTGGCAGTCAATACCAATGTGTCACATTGCCTACAAAACTGGAAATCGGGGGGGGGGGGGAGAATTCATTGTGAAGATATCTGTTCTGAATTTTGTTTTTATGACAGTGCACATCAAAATGGTCTTTCTCTTTCTTTTTATCTTCCTATTTTCCCATCTGTTTTTTAAATGCCACTAAAAAAAGAATCAGCAATCACAGACTTGTTTGGTGCTTAATAAGATTTCCAAGAGAGATGCATCTATCATTGGGGCACCTTGCCCAAGAAGGACTCCTTGCTGATCACTTCAGCAGCTCAAGACTATCAAGAAGTTGCCTGTCTTGGTTGCAAGGTGAAGGAAAGCAAGGTGGCTCTCCATCTTGGAGGGTGATTTTGTTGATCTTCCCCTGAGTTGGAGTTGCGGCCAAGATGGGCTGCTTCTCATGGATGACCACTCAAAGGACCACAGTTACTGGTGTCCAACCTATCTTTCTTGGTTTCTTGAGTCATCTTCCCCTTCCGTCCCTTCAGGTCTTGTCAGGGGATAAATGGGTCAAATGGGGCTAGTAAATAACAAGAAGACATGTTCACACAACCGTGAGTTATGCCAGGTATGTCACCAACAGGACTCTGTCCTTAGTCTTCAGTGTGGTTATTTTTTAAATAGTGGGTGACAAGGGGTGAGTGAGCTTCTTTTCTGTAGCTCCAGAGACTTGAGCACCAACCAGTGCATCTCAATTACAGGAACAGAGATTCTACCAAAACATGAGGAAGAACCTCTTGACTGTAAGAGCTTTCCAACGATGGAAAGGACTGCCTCAAAAGGTGGTGGGCTCTCTTTCACTGGAGGTTTTCAAAAGAGTTTGAATGGACACCTTTTGGGAGTGTTTTAGTTGTGTATTCCTCCAAGTCTGGGGGTTGGACTGGATGGCCATTGCTCCTAAGATCCTATGATTTTGTGATTCTATGAAAACAGGGAAAGATATTTATGTTACCTAAAAATGAAACTACAGAGCATCTTTTTTTTCAGCATTGAGATTTGTGTTCAGGGGCTCATTCATGTTACTTCAAGCTTGGAAGGCACTCATTTTACTCTTGTTGTGTACCTTCAAGTCATTTCCAACTTACGGTGCTCCTTGGGGGTTTTCTTGGCAAGATTTGTTCAGAGAAGGCTTTCTATTGCCTTCCTCAGAGGCTGAGAGTGTGTGACTCACACAAGTTCACCCAGTGGGTTTCCATGGCCAGGTGGGGATTTGAACCCTGGTCTCCAGAGTTGCAGTCCAATGCTTAAACCACTACATCATGACAGGAAATGTAGCAGGATATATGAGGTCCTTTCTGGACTCCTTTTACCTGACTATGTGGGCATTTTGAGTGATATTTGTGTGCTTCTGACTCTCCCAGACCTAAGAAGAAAATGGCCTTGCTAAACAGAAGAAGCTGGAGATGTTTTTGAACTTTTATTTTGTGGTACATCATTAGCATGCTCAGTTATATGATAATACCCGCCCATAACCCACGCTTGGCTATAGATCTTCTAAGTGGAAGTTTCCCATGGCAGGAGGGAAAACCAACTTTTTCCTCTCCTCTTATATTTCCCTTTTTATGTTTTGTTTCTTTTGCTCAACCTCCTGCAATGATCACAAGTGCAAGAAAAAGATCTGCTTTCTGGTGGGTTTTTTTGGGGGGGGGGCGGGAGCTCAACATGAATAAATGAATTACAGATCTCTGTAACTTGGCTTCACATGAAAAGGATCTTCATCTCCCCCCCTCTCTCTTTTATTGCTTGGATGGAAAAAAATGTAGCATGAGCAATGGCAGGACAGAGAGGAGGGAGTGGTTGAAATTTCTTCTCATTCAAGGTTGCCCTCGGCCCACTGAGCTTGCCATGAAAGCCCGGCTGATTGCTAAAATGAACTATTGACACATAGCAATGATTACCTGGCTGGTGGAGTGGAAGTTGGCACTGGGGAAATGCCTGTATTTTCACACCAGGCTTTTGTGTCCCTTAGAGACCCAGCGGGGAGCGTCCTAATCGCCCATCTTGCGCCAAGGCGAAAGGCAGGCGAAAGTTTGTTTCTCTTTTTTGTCTCCCCCTTCCTTACCCTCCCAAAAGCTCTGTGAATATTTCCGACCTTGACCTTCCAGTCGTGAACTTGGGGAAGAATCTCTTGGCCCACGTCATTCCTACACGAGTTGTGTCTGCTTTGCTCTGCCTTATCGCAGTTTTCTGGGTTGCCAAGCTTTAGCCGTGACACTTGGCTTGCATTTTTCACATTGCCGTTGTGCAGGCATGCTGGAAAAGTGGTGTCCTGCTGAAGCTGGTTTGCAGGAACTGCCAGCCTTGGCTTTGCCTTTCTGTGTTTCTCCCCACCGAGCTTTCTCCATGCTTGGGTTGTGTGCGTGGTAAACCACTTGTGGGAAAGGATGAGGAGCAGCACAACCCACCAGGCCAATGTAGATTCAGATCCTACCTATGACACAGACTCATGGATAGCCTTGGATCTCTCTCTCTCACACACCACACACAAGTGCCTGCTGAGCATGAAATGTTCATCTGAATAGCATGAAGCATTCACTGGCTTGCAAGGACAATGGTGATACATCGAGCCTAGAGCCCAGATTTCTTCTAAACTACAGTTCCCAGGATCCCTGCTCCCCTAGCCATCATGGCTTGGGGAGTCTGGGACCTGTTATCCAGAAAAGTCACTTATCCAGCTCCCTTGCTGCAGCTTGCTGGCTTTCCCAGGATGAGGCTTTAGGAAATTTAGGGATGGAGCAGATCGAGGGGATGCAGCAATGCTATAGCTGCAGAAACAGGGGCCAGTGGTACTGTAATTTAGCCTTGGAGTATGTGAAAAGGTCATT